CCGTTATATGGGGACTATACCAGAACGTGGACCGATATATCTCATTTTCAATACCAACCATCCTAGACACAATACAAATTGCTCTGCTAAATTTTGGCGATCTACATCAAATAATGTGGGCTGTATCGTGATTTCAATAGACGGACAGACAGACGGACTTTGTTAAATCGACTTAGAATTTTATGCTGATTATGAATATATAAGCTTTATGGGGTCTACGACGAATATTTAAGGATGTTACAAACGGAATGACAAAGTTAATATAACCCCCTTTCCAAGGTGGAGGGTATAAAAATCTCCCATTATTCTTGTTATACATGGAAACATTGATATTTTTATACCATCCACTATACTATGGAAGGTATATTATCTTTGCCATTAAACTTGTAACTTCTAGAAATAAACACATAATATCCTAATAAGTATATACATTCTTGATCAACCTAAAATCCGAATTCGATTTTGTACCTAAAAGACAAAATTAATTTTTTTCACTGCACTAGCTTTAAGCCGGCTTATTATAGGCTTATTTGTGTTATTATAGGTTTATTCGTAAAAAAAAAACAAGGAACATAGGATCAACATAAAACTCCTTTGTTTTTTTTTACAAAGAAGACAGCCGCTGACTTAAGCCAGTCAAAAGAGCCTTTTATGTACTCTCACCTTTATTCTGTTGGTTACATAATCCCCTAAATGTTTCTTCTTAAGTCTCTATCAGACGATATGCTTTTACATATGTAGTGCCAAATTCTCCAAATGTTGCACACGTCGTGAGATACGTGGACGACATTTTATTTGGGAAGTACATGAGCAAAGTACATACTTTACCATTACAGCAAGGCCTATTTTCATCGGAAAAATTAACGCTCCTTTCCACAAGCTACAAGAATATGCTAGTTTTCAATTTTCTTCGATATTATAAAGGAAACATCGGTTATCGAAGTAAAAACTTTTACATTCTTGCAGTTCTGGAACAGAACAATAATCACAACGTTAGGAAAGAAATATAAAAATATACAAGTGTGTGTTAGCAGGAATTATGAGTTATATGTTATTTAAAAAAAAAAATTGTTATTTAAAAATATTACACAACCATAAATAATGTGTTGACCAATTTGTTTTATTTTATGTGTATGTTGCTTGGGTTCCTTAGGTCAGTTTTTATTGCAATGGCAATAAAGTTTAGTTTTATTTCATGTTTCATTAGATTTTCCAACAATATCAGAGTTTAGTATAAAGGGGTACTGCCATGGCTCAATAAGAAAGGTGGCTCATCTTCAAGGAACTACAAAAATGCAACTCTGTACTGGAATCTTATTATGTCAAATAGACTTTTAAAACATGCAACAACTGGTTTAGTTTATCAATAATTTTTTTCACAAAAATATTATATTGCGGAAAACTACAAAACTTCAATGGAATATTAGGATTTCTCAACAAAATTGAATGCAAGATAGTAGGGCAAGATTGTTTTATACCAAATCTATACATTTTTTTCGGTAACGTGAAAGATATGCATTCATATTGTCCCTAAATTTGAAATAATTTCAAATTAAATATTTTTCTTTTTATTCAAAACAATACATCCAAACTTTTCATTGGTCTGTACACAAGCGAGCTAAAATCTTCTCATGTTCTCGCTCTATTGTCCATATCATGGCAGAAGAATACAGGTAGATGCATCAACGCTTGGGAGCATTGATATGTCAAAAAATTTTAAATGTTTTTTCAAATATAAGTAGATTTTTTAATATTTTCTTATACGACGTCATTCGAAGGTTATTATAATTCGAGCTTTTTAACAATTTTTAAAAATTTAAATAATTTTTCATTCAACATTTTCAACTCCAAAATTGGTTTGACAGTTCATTGTCCCAGCAGCTGTGTCGATGCGTCTACCTATATTCTTCTACCATGGTCCATATCTAGATTTTTTGTTTTAGTTTATTTTTACATTTCGTTTTGCCCACAGATCCAATAAAATCTCGGTGTCTCTCTGGCACCGGACACTTCGCTGCTATTCTTTTGGCGTCTGCAAATAAAAATAATAATTTTTTATTATCATTTTTAGGTAAGAACACATGGTAAAATTAAGAAGGTAAATCTATTTCCAAAAAGCATATTGATCTCTGCATTTTCTATGTCAAATTTTACTGCATAGACAAAAGGTTCCCCTTTCTGATTTGTGTGTATGCAGTGAATTTATAAATATACGTTTTAACAATGAGGTGTTGTCAAAAGAAACATTTGTAAACATGTGATTGCATGATTTTACCTTTATAATTCTACCTTTGTAAAAACTGTGGTAGAAGAATACAGGCAGATATATGAAAGCTTGGAAACATTGACATGTGAAATTTTATTAGATTTTTTTATGTGTAGATTTGTATATTTTTTCTGTACGACGCCAAACGGAGGTTGTTATGATATGCATTTTTTTAATTGTTACAGAATTGAATAAATTTTTATAAAAAAAATTCTCTTCCAAAATTGGTTTGACAGTTCGTTGTCCCAGCAGCTGTGTCAATGCGACTGTCTGTATTCTTCTACTATGGTGAGGTTAAAAAAGTAAAGTCATTTCAAATAAGACTATCTCTGCATTTTCTGTCATTTACCTTTGAAAATTTCTCTGAATAAAAAATTTGTCATAGGCCATAATTTTCGGCAGCGTTGTCATATGAAATTTGTTTAATACAGTTTAAATTCAGTTTCATTTTGTGTATTAACAACAATAATGATACACACATTAATTTGCATTAAGTGATTTATGTACAAAAAGGCTGCCGCCTGTCTAGGGTATTACTTCCAAAAAACAACAAATGTTGCATCCTCCTCTGAATTCAGAAAGTCCCCTTAAGTCCAAAAAATGAAAATAATGCTGAACAGTTGTCAATTAACAAATGAAAAAAAAAAACAAGTAAAAAAGCTGTGAGTTTGAATACCCTCCATCATTTGGAACGAATTTGGCCATTTTCAAAAATAATAAAATCAGTTACAAATTCTGTTAAAATCTTAAAAATACCGAATGTAGCTGTTATATTAGGGTCTATACGACGACCATGGACCTGCATAGGTAACTTTTGTCATAAGCCGTTAAAATATTCAAATGCGTGAACTTAAAAAAAATCGGTGAATAATGTGGACATGCACAGACAATCTCCTACCATAGCCTGTAGTATCCATTACGAACATCAAATACCAATTAAGAGTATATATATTTTTTGTAGGGTCTTACATGAGTAAGACAAAGGAATGACAAAGTTAATAAACGAGCATAATTTTTATACTGTGAAGGAGTTCCCCATATAAATTGCAGCAACCTAGAGAACAAAATGCAGAAACTACATCGAGAAGGGTTTTTGTAACACAATGGAGGGTCTACAATGTCATTTGTAGAATGAATATGAAAGATTTCACGCCAGCTGGTATCAATTTGATATGTCAAACCAGTAAGGAAAGCTCAAAAGTCGGGCGGGGCCGGCTATATGATACCCTACACCACTATGCATATTTAGTAGAGCTCTCGTAAAAAGGTTTATACAGGGCATTTCAGAGCTCTATGAGATATTTGGTACAAAATCAAAATCTATCTAATTCTATCGTGCATTTTACGAACTATAGCTATCTCTGACCCGGGTTTCTCCAAATTTTACGTATTAGCTTCTAGACTGGTGATTTGGGCTGATATTGACCATTTAGTGCACATTTAACCCGAAATCGGATGAAGATATATATGAGAGCTATATCCAAATCTGAACCGATTTCGATAAAATTTAAAACAGCTATTCCTGTGCTCCACCTAATACCTGGTACCAAATATCACGGTTGTGGAGTGAATATTACGAATGTATGGGACTAAAACTCTAAATCGGATGAAACATATATATGGTTGCTATATCTATATCTGAAGCGATTTTCACTAAATTTGATATACTTGCTTCTAGGCTGAATTTGGTCCGATGTACTAAAATTCAGTCCATTTGGACTTATATCAGCCATTTGGTGCACAATCAACCCGAAATCGGATGAAGATATATATGGGAACTATATCCAAATCTGAACCGATTTCGATAAAATTACAAGCAGCTATTTCTGGGCTGTATCTTATATCTAGTACTAAATATCATTCTTGTGGAGTGCATATTACGAATGTGAGAGGCTTAAACACCAAATCGGATGAAAGATATATATGGGAGCTATAGCTATATCTGAACCGATTTTCTCCAAATTTGATATACTTGCTTCTAGGCCGAACTCGGTTGGGTGTGCCAAAATTCAGGTAATTTGGACTGATAGTGGACATTTGGTGCACATTTAACCCGAAATCGGATGAAGATATATATGGGAGCTATATCTAAATTTGATCCGATTCTCACCAATTTCAATAGGGTTCGTCCTTGGGCCAAAAAAATATTGTTCATCTCAATCGGATAATAAATGCGACCTGCATTTTGTTCACAAGAATACATGGACAGACGGACGGACGGACGGACGGACAGACGGACTGACATGCATAAATCGACTCAGAAAGTGATTCTATGAAGGTTCTCAAAAGTAACTATGGGTCTATCTCGTTTCCTTCTCCATGTTACAAACAAATGCACAAAGACATAATACCCTTACCACTATGTGGTGTAGGGTATAAAAATTGTTGTAATTTGAATTCGCCATAGAGAAACTTAGAATACTCTCAGCCAAATTACTACATCGGCTATATACCTTTTGATACGGTCAAAATGTGCCTCATGGAAATAATGGTTTTGGACTCTAGATATTTTGGATGAAATCCATATTAGACATTTGGAGTCGATTGAGCGAAAAAACGAACGAAAAAAAGGCCACAATTTAAGACATAGAGCTTTCACGAGGTAATTGGTTTAGAACGGAAAGCATAATTTTGAAAATCCCCCTAAAATAATTTAGCGCAAATGATTATGCATATTTTTAATGGCGAACGTATCATTTTTATAAAATCCAATTTAAGATAGAAACAAATAGTGTAATATTCTGCCAATGTTAAAATTGTTTATTTGACTAATCTTAAATTAAAGACATATGGACGGTCAGTGATTTTATATATCTTAACTTTCTCCGATTTGAATTCTTAAAGACATTAAATAAAAAATTCGATTCATTTGAAAAACAACAATTTTAAGAAATTAATGATTACTCTCATGAAATAGTTCTTTAAAATTCAACAATGTCGGACTCGGAAATATTCTTTAGAATCTACGATTGAACGCCGGAAGAATGTTTTTAAAATTCATTATTTGGGGCTCGGACATTTTCTTTAAATCCCTGAAACTATTTCAAAATCCACAATTTGAGAACTGGAAATATTTAAAAATCCAGGATTTGATGTAGTGAAGAACTCTAGATTGTTTCAAATTTCACGAGTTGGGTCTTGAAAAAATCCGCTATCTGGGGCTGAAATTTTTATAAATTTCTACAAACACATCGCAAAAAAGTTCAAACAAATCCACCATATAGTGAGTGCATTTTTGATGGGTTGATGATTTCTTGCCTTATTTTGAGTTCTCCGAATTCGTTTTGAATTTGTTCCAACTGAGATTATCATTCCACGCGGTATTCACCCCAATATTTATATACCTTTTGCTTTTATCGAGTTCTCTTATATCGAGGACCAGCATAAACTGTACGAGCAACACAACATTTCCCTGCAAAATTTAATAGAAATTGAAAAAAACCAAATTTTTCAAAATTAAATGTTCTGATTGGTGCAGAACAATTTGCCTCAAATTTTATATGTCAAGTAATTTCGCCTAGCTTACAATTTTGACATATCAAGTTCGAACAAAAGTTGCTTTGTTGTAATTTTCGCCTATGTTGCTACCTGGTATTTCTACCATGATACCCCCAAACACAATTTTTTCTTTTGGTACCCTTATTCTGTCAGAATATACATGTGTGTGCGTATGGTTTTGAATAAAAAAGGGAATTTAGAGACAACAGAAATGCATATTTTCCACGTTACCTGTCCCTCTATCTTAAATTCAATTTCGTGATGAAACCCCAATATTCCATTCATGTTTTGTGGGTTTCGCGCAATATAAAAATTTTGTGAAAAAATATTAAATAAATGGTCTGTTCCAGAACCTGGTTCTGGAACAACCCTAAACAAAACCAAGTGTTGCTTGCATGCATGGTAGAAAAATGTAGGTAGATGCATCAACACTTGGGAACATTATTATGTCAAAAAAAGTACTTTGTCCAAAATAAGTAGATTTTTATATATTTTCTTATACGACGCAAATCGGTAATTGTAATTATATGTATTTTTCAACAATTTTTACAAATTTCAATAAATTTTCATTCACGATTTCCAATTTCAAAATTGGTTTGACAGTTCGTTGTCCCAACAACTGTGTCGATGCGACTACATGTATTCTTGGCATGCATGGAACAATTACAGAAGGTAGAACAAAGCTACCCCTAAATACAATTGTTTTCTTTTGGTGCCCTTTTTCTGTCGAAACAATAAAAAAAAATGTATGCATATTATACCCCTTAAAGGACAACACATTGTACAATTTTCGGATAAAACTGTATTGTTTTCAATGATGTTGATTCAGTATTGTGGAATAACCCCAAAATTCCATTCTAATTGTTGCATGTTTAAAAAGTCTATTTGACATAACAAGACTCCAATACAGAGTTGCATTTTCTTAGTTTCCTGGATGTTAAGCAACCTTTCGTATTAAGCCATGGATATACTGAACTAAAATCATAATAATAAGCCCAAAACAAAAGTTCTAACTATTTTCTGTTCAAGGACGTGCAAGAATCTACTAGTTTTGCAAGTTTCTTCCATATCATAAAGGGAAAATCGGCTATAATTATAAAAAATTGTACATTCTTGCAGTTCTGGAACAAACTATATATAGCATGCTTCACCATGAGTTCGCAATAGATGGTCTGTTCCACAACTGCAAGAAAGTATTTTTTTACTACGATAACCAATTTTCCCAATTGGTTTGACAGTTTATTGTCCAATGCCACTGCCCAAGGTAGATGTACTAGGTAATCGCATCAGCCCAGCTGACGGCACCATTAAATGTCAAAACAAATTGTTGTAATGGCGAATTCGCCCTAAATGAATGCAACAACAAATTTGTTTATGTTGTCTTCCCTAAAACTATTTTTATAATATTTCAAATAATTTAAGAGCAAGTTAAGAGTGGCGGCCTTCCTCGATATCGAGGGGGCCTTCAATAATGTTACATTAGAGGCAATTCACAGTTCTCTCGAAGGACTTAGTGTGCCACCACTTCTCGTCGACTGGATTGATGTTATGCTCAGCAGCAGAATCATCAACTCTAGCATCGGGGAGTGCTCTGTTAGGAAAACGGTCACTAGGGGTACTCCACAAGGAGGCGTTTTGTCACCACTGCTTTGGCTTCTGGTGATAAATAACATTCTACTTGATCTGGAACACAGCGGAACAAAGGTCGTGGCTTACGCCGACGATGTGGTCCTGCTGATTGCTGGGAGATTTCCGCAAACTATTACAGATCTTATGCAGGGAGCTCTGGTTAAACTCTCCAGATGGGCGCGCTGCAATGGTTTAGGCGTGAACCCATCTAAAACTGAGCTCGTACTTTTTACAAGGAGGCGGAAAATACCCGTCCTCTCTCTCCCAATGCTGGATGGTGTAACTCTAAGCCTTTCTTCGGAAGCAAAATATCTCGGTACCATTCTAGACCAGAAGTTAAGCTGGAAAAGGAATATCGAGGAGCGAGCGAAAAAGGGCTTAATTGCACTTTATTCCTGCAAGAACTCCATAGGAAAGAGTTGGGGGCTTAAACCCCATATTATCCGATGGATATATGAGTCAGTCGTCCGACCAATCCTAACCTATGGCGGACTTGTGTGGTGGCATTCCCTACGGAAAACCACCTTCAGCAAGAATATTGACAAAGTACAAAGAGTCGCATCGCTACTAATTACAGGAGCGGTCAGGAGCACGCCACAATCCGCTCTAGACACCCTACTCAACTTAAAGCCTTTAGGCTTATTTGTAGAGGAACTAGCTGCTAGGTGTGCCCTGCGACTCAACGAATTGGGACAATGGCGGAGTCAACCCTTCGGGCACTCTGTCATTCTTAAGTATGTGGAAAACGTAAGTAATCAGGCTATAGCTAGTGACTATATACTCCCTAGGCTCAGCTTTGATCTACTTGACATCCGTATACCAAACAGGGATATCTGGTCCCGTGGCACTCCACCTTTCGACGGTATAGCGGTCTATACTGATGGTTCAAAGATGGAAAGTGGAACGGGTGCTGGAGTCTACTGTGAAAGCCTAAGTATCCGAAGATCCTTCAAGCTAAACAGCGATTGCAGCGTTTTTCAGGCAGAAATTTTTGCTGTCAGAATGGCCATAGAACTGTTGAATAATAGAATTAACGAACGGGATGGACCGGTGACTATATATGTCGATAGTCAAGCGGCCCTAAAAGCTCTAAATTCTTTCACAATCAAGTCTATGACTGTTCTGGAGTGCAAGAATGCCCTGGAAAAGTTTAAGTCAGCTGTCAAGCTCTGTTGGGTCCCTGGGCACTGCAACATATCTGGCAATGAATCTGCCGATGAATTGGCCAGACGCGGATCTGAGTCAGTAGATCTAGAGATCGAGAGCTCAGTGAAGCCACCTTTATGCCACTTCTTTCAAGTTTTGCATAAACACTATCTTGGAAGATTTCAACAGAACTGGCTATCTGGAAGGGGATGCAACATCTCCAAAAAGATTTGGCCGGTGAACTCCGAACGGAGATCACGGTCACTCTTGTCCATGACGAAGTTGGACTTGAAGCTTGTGGTGGGCCTAATTACAGGTCATTGCAACATAAAGGCCATGACTTCAAAATGGGGGGGTGACGACACTGAATACTGCAGGCTATGTCAGGACGAGGAAGAAACAGAAACGGTGGAACACTTACTCTGTCATTGTCCTACCCTCATCGGAGTAAGACATAGGCTTCTGGGTAAGCACTTACTGCCTGACCTGTCATACCTCTCCGAAACAGAACCAGCAGTCATTCTTCAATTAGCCAGAAGACTAAAATGGCTAAGGACGACACGTTGATTACACCGTGGACGCAAACCCACTAGCTTCTCTAATTCTTCTAAATCCTATATTCTATACTAACTATCTTTCTTATCTCACTTCCACTTCTTTCTAGACTAGGATGATCACAATGGGCCAATAGGTCTCCGAGTGGAGTGGTTGTTGTTTTTACGCAACCACACATCCTTTAACCTAACCTAACCTAAGTTAAGAGTGAAACCAGTAAAAATAATTAAAAGAAAATGAAGGAAGGAGTATAGAATGGAGTGCAGCTTTAAGAATTAAGTTAGCCTCAACATATAAGATTCCCAAAGCACATCACGGGAAGTGGTGCAAGAATTCGACTCTTGTCATTTGCAGTTCCGGAAAACTTTCGGTTTAAACCAGTAAAATATAGTCATTATAAGTTTCTTGGTTTAAAAAATATCGCAATACTACAATTAATACTTATTTTACTCTTATTTGTTTTACAATAAAAACTTTTATTGCGAAGTTCGTTTACGACGAGAGGCACACAAAATAAAATGTAAACAAACACCTCGTTTCTGATTGGTTGAAACAAATTTGCCGCAACCTTTAAATGTCATGGCGAATCTATGTTTTTCGCCTTAGATGCCAATTTTGACATTTGAGGGGACCACAAAAGTTGCTTTGTTGTAGCAATTCGCCGATGCGGTTACCTGTTAGATCTACCTTGCCACTGCCTGTATTCCTCTACAATGTTTCTGACATACCAATCCAGCCGTAAGCAGATTCATGTACCTAATTCTGTTCTAGAGAGAGAGAGAGAGGTCCAGCGATATAAGAGAAAGACCCTAGATCATGAAGCCTATCAAGCATGACTGAATAGCATTCATACTGATGCAGTCGCAGAGGTAGTTAACAATTACAGTACGAATGTCATCTTCGGAGTCCACTACTATCCATTGCAGCTGAAGAACGTCAGTTGCCTAGACAAACTAGGGTAGTTTTCGCCCAACTACGTTCAGGATGGTGCAGCCGTCTCAACTCTAATTGGGCACGAATTGACCAAGATGTGCGATACAGCCAAGCCTACCCAACTCCGTTCAGAGGATTTTTGGCTTCAGCCCATTAAGGTTGCACAATTCCTAAACCTGGACATCGAAGAGGAACCGGATTTATCAGTCCATAAATTACAGAGCATGTTATCACTGCTACAACAACAACCTAATTCTGACAGCGAACAACATTTTTCCAATGTCAATGGGAATATGCCAAATATCGACTATTGAAAAATCGTTATTGATTCAATAAATCGGCATGGGAACCCGGCGGCGAATTAACAGCCGTCATTCAAGACCAGCAGATTATTAATCGATTTTGATCGATAAGTCCAAAATCGACCTACGAATCCCTAGTCGCATATATATACATTCATTTTCGGCTTGCAGGCGTCCGATTAAAAAATATCTTTTTAAATATAAAAATCAATGCAAATAATTGTGTAAAACATCAAAAATTCAACATCACATGCATGCCCAAGTGATGAGCAATAGTTTGTAAAACAGAAACAACAATTTATGTCATAAATAAATGTGATTGCAGTGGTTTTAGCCGTCGTCGTTCAGCGTTCGAGACCCAGCATTTTTTTTTTACTTTTTTTTGTGCAGTCCGGAACAAAAATACAGACAAGCGGCGAAAATGATTTGAGCATAATTAAATTGTTCAAATATATTTTGGAAACAAATAAACCTTTTTTGTCGCACCACCATCGCCCAATTCATTCCTCATCGCCATTTATTTCTTATTTTTTGGTTTGTCATATAACCATTCGGTCAGGTTGTCTGTTCTTTGTCGTCGCCACTCAGACTGATGTGGTAAACAAAAAGTATTGCGTTTCGACATTCTTGTTGACGGCGAATAATTGGCAGGTATTCTTCCTTCGCTTGCACTTTCACAAGCATCATCACGTCGACAAGCGGAACAGCAGCGGACATTGGCAAACCGCATTGAGTAGCAGAGTGACTAGATTTCGACATAAATAAATTATAGGTAAGTTCATTATTTTTAAGGAAATCAATTTCAACAGAAGACCTTCCTTTGCAAATGATTGTCAATGATGTAGGGGTAGGGTGGTGCTCAGTAAACGGGGTGACCTATGTGTTCGTTGTTGCCGTGATGCCATTGACCGTGTTTTGTAAACATTAACCATCTGATTTATACTAATTTTTTTATTTAACTGAGAGATGAAAAAGAAATGAATGCCTATAACTTATCCAAATGTAACTATTAATCGGATGATAACAATTTTGTTTGCAAATTTGGGAATAGTGGGAACAGTTGTGGCATATACCTACTATGTGACTATATTATTATAGATTTGTAATTCCTTACAAAAACACTTAATCTGGAATACCATTGTAGTTTAATTATAGCCTGTTGCTATTCTAAAAACAACACTAAGTCTTAGTCCTTTATCTGAATCAATAGTTTTATATTTAGTTAATGACATATTACTGACAATTCGATTGTATATATTTATAGCTATCATTAATTTGAAACAACTCTTGACTATCCATCCACAGATATAGTTATGTCTGCCACCGCCGGGAAACGGAAGGAAATCTACAAATATTTGGCACCATGGCCATTATATTCGATGAACTGGAGTGTTCGACCAGACAAACGCTTTCGTCTGGCTCTGGGGAGTTTCATCGAAGAATATAACAATAAAGTTCAAATAATAAGTCTGGATGAAGAGACCAGCGAATTTAGTGCTAAAAGGTAATTTTCATGTTGCCCAACATATTCCCTCTTGATTAATAATTATTATTTTTTACATTTCTTCAGCACTTTTGATCATCCATATCCGACAACAAAAATTATGTGGATACCCGATTCTAAGGGTATATATCCCGACCTTTTAGCCACCAGTGGTGATTATTTACGAGTATGGCGTGCCGGAGAACCAGATACCCGCTTAGAATGTGTTCTAAATAACAACAAAAACAGTGACTTTTGTGCACCATTAACTTCATTCGATTGGAATGAGGTTGATCCCAACTTAGTTGGAACTTCTTCAATAGATACGACTTGTACAATATGGGGCTTGGAGACGGGACAACCACATGGTCGAGTATATGTGGCTGGGCATGTAAAAACACAACTTATAGCTCACGACAAAGAGGTATACGATATTGCCTTTTCGCGGGCTGGTGGTGGTCGTGATATGTTTGCTTCAGTCGGTGCTGATGGTTCGGTGCGAATGTTTGATTTAAGGCATTTGGAGCATTCAACAATTATTTACGAGGTAGGGTATTTAAATTTCACAAATTTATGTTTTACTTATTATTTGCAATGTCTTTTTAAACAGGATCCCACACATACAGCTTTACTTCGTTTAGCATGGAACAAGCAGGATCCAAATTATTTGGCCACCGTAGCAATGGACTCGTGTGAAGTTATAATATTAGATGTCCGTGTTCCTTGTACACCTGTTGCAAGACTGAGCAATCATAGGGCGTGTGTCAACGGTATAGCGTGGGCGCCGCACAGGTAAATATAAATTTATGATGTATTTAGTCTCATTCATCCAGAAGAACTTAAATTGGCAGTGCAAACGCGAGAAGAATTATTATAAGCAGTCAATGACACCCATTTTAAATTATTTTTAATTTTTATTTGCATATTGTTCAGTACTTTTTACAAAATTTGAAAATATTTTGGCAGTAACTACAATTGACATTTGTAGCATTATACTTTCTTTGTAATTGTATTTGAGGCAAATTCTATAGTTCAAGCTAAAAATTGCCTAAGAAATTCTTTCACGATGTACTGCTGTGTCTTAAAAATATTGTATTAAGGACTTTCTTCCCATAGAGGAATATTGCGTGCCTATAACATAATTCTCATACATAAATTTTTATGTGACAATATACATGCAATTCTGATATTTATGTTCACCTATAATTTCGTCGTAGAGTAGCCATGCATAGAAGTTTTTAGAACAGTCCATGGGCTAGTTACCTAGCGCACTAATTGAAAATAAATAATAAAAAGTTAAATAAACTCTCCACTGATATACATTTTGATATATATTAATATTTTTCAATAACAAAACACAAACTATACTCACATGTTTTTTTTTTTTGTTATCATTTTTGTAGTTCCTGTCATATATGCACTGCCGGTGATGATCACCAAGCACTGATCTGGGATATACAGCAAATGCCACGTGCAATCGAGGATCCAATTTTAGCTTATACAGCTGCCGAAGGTGAAGTCAATCAAATTCAATGGGGTGCAACGCAGCCCGATTGGATTGCAATTTGCTATAACAAAGCATGTGAGATCTTGCGTGTCTAGAGACAACAGAATCATCGTCACCGTAGCAATGCTCAAAGGACGTTGTATATTGAACGAGTTCTCATATATGCACCACCACCACAAAAACAACAGCCACAACCACAGCCACAACAAAATTTAATAATAATGAAACAAAAACAAAAAAATCTTATATTAACTACTAATACTACTACTACTAACTATAACGATATAGATAATTATTACTACGTACGTATAGTCTACAAAATGTCATCGTCGTCGTCGTCGTCTCACAGTCATCGTCATTATTGCCACTAAGAAACGAACGAATAATGATCGATAGAGATAATATTTTCAAAGTGAAATCTTAACAATCGACACTAAGTGTGTGTGATATTGTTTTTTATTTGCACACCATAATAAGAAAACTCGAAAAAGCAGTGAAGTAGATTAAAAATCGGATAAATAAAAACCAACCAAAAGCAAATACACAACGTAGAAAGAAAAAAAAAAAAAAAAACAAAACAAAACAATGCATACACAGTTCAACATTTGTTTTCCTCTTTGTTTGCCAAAATTAGACGAAAAAAGTAATCAACAGCTAATTGAAAATGCAATCGCTAAGAAAATTCAGCGAGAATCTGTAAAGTTCTAAGAATGTAGTTTACTTTGAATCATTAATTTTAAGCGATTTAGTTTTTAATTCATAAGTTTAAGAGAACATGTAGTTTGCAAATTATTTATATACATTTTTATTTATATGTTTATTTTAAGTGTATAAAACAAAAAACGAAAAATAATAACTGATCGTGGACAATTTAGTTGGAAATGCTCACAGAATACATACATTTTTGTTAGTTTTATTTTTGTTTTTAATTTCTTTATTCTTCATTTTCGGAAATAACGTAAATTCGTCAAAACCAATAAAACGAAAGTAACTAAATCGGTTTCAATTACAAACTTTATAATTAGGGTTTTTAAGAACAGCATGAAAAATAAATATGTATTTAATTCCTATTCATTAATATTCTCCAAATACGTTTAGATCTTTATGTTTTCCATATTTGTTTACATTTACAGTTCAAATATTAGCTGTCATTTAAATTGAGTCAAACTCACAAACAAAATTTTTTTATCATAAGTAATTTTACAAAAATTTAAAGATTACAAAAAAAAAAAAAAAACAAATTATTATCGATTTTGTTTGTCCTATTTTAATTACAATGTTTTTTCTCTTGAGAATACAAGCCACAACTTAATCGTAGAGTTCGACGTTTGAAGTCATAACGTCATATGAATGAATTAATATGGAATTTTAAGTCAGACTGACTAAAATCTGTCTACTTTTAATAAAGCAACAAAATAACGAATTTAATGTCGAAACTCAGTTCCAAACGATTAATTTTTATCAATCTGAGCACATTAAAGACACATCTTCATGCAAGGCATGTGTGGATCTCTAATTTGGAAACTCAGTGTGAATCTAACATACTAAAAGTGCATTTAATTTTTAATCCCATTAATGCCAAGTCTTTCGGCCCAAAGTGTGCTTTACTCCGACATCAAAATTAGTCGTTTTTTTTAAATATACAGCGAGAGATAAAAAACCGCAACAAAGCCAAACGCCATTATTTTTACAAAAAATGTCGGAAATAGCATCAAATTTTAGAATACGTACGAATTATGGCCTTCACACGGTCAATGAAATTATCTCACGCTGCCCGAATGTTGCTCTGCGGTAGCTCGCTTGCTTGAGGTGACCGGCACTTTGGAATTTTTTAGTGCCAACCTTGCTTTCCAAAATACTTCAGACACAATAGTCCAATGGATTGGTATCCTAAGATTTTGCTTGCCATTGTGCGCTTGAAACGAAGCGAGAAACCTCATTTTGTAACCATTCTTGGGTGGCGCGTGCTGTGTGCGATGGTGCTGAGTTCTGTTGGAATGTCCAAGTTCTGCGGTCAAAATGTTTGGGTGCGCAAGTTTTTAATACACCCTCCAGAATATTTTCGCGATAATATTCGGAATTTATTCTGATGCCACGGTCGATTAATACGAGCTGAGAGTGATCATCGGCTGTTATGGCGGCCCACACCATCACCATGGCCGGCGCTTGAGTTTTGGTGGACAACCGAAGTTGCACATTTCCAGCTGACCTCTTTGGCAAGTAAAACCGATCATTTTGTTCGGAGAAAACCAAATTTGGCAGTTCACCACTTTCGGCCATGCGAAGCAACTCTTTAGCTGTTTTGAGTCTATTTTTTTCTGTAACAAAGTCGTGTCTATAACGACTGACTTGATCCCTAAGAAAGGTCAAGTTTGTTAATTTTGAAAGTAGTCCCCATGGAATAATAACTTGTGTAGAAATGTAGTTAGTTGTAAACACCATGTCATCGATGTTCAATTGACCAAGTAGTGCGAACGACAGAATTACGGGCATTTATAAAATACAACAATTTATATTCTTTTTGTGCAAAATGCATCGCTTAAAAATTAGTGAAACATTTATTCATATTTTATTCCTATTTGATATATTTCTTGCGAACATATGTTTGACAGCAAGAGAAAACTATGGTCAAAATTAGCCTCCTGTGTGACCTCATACAAATTGTCTTGGTTTCATCGTAAGATTATCGTATTTCCTATGAAACAAATAGCTATGGCATTGTAAATGCTTTCACTGATCTGGGCGATGAACATATAAGGAAGTTTTTAAATGTTTTTCCATGGTGTAGGGAAAAAACGGGGAAATACAATATTCTTTTTTTAAATTAATTTTTTAACTTTAAATGTCTACACAAAATCTATTGCAATTAAAACCGTTTTAGTTATTTTTCTTCAAATTATGAATTTTTGTTATGAAAAGAAAACTTTTTTTTTTTGGTTTTCTATAAACACAAGCAAATATGCAAAAGAACTTTGAAATAACAAGAACAACAACAACAAAAAATAACCAATAAATTTTTTATACAACAATAACAAAAATCCTACCTCGTTTTCCATTAAGGATTATTTGAAATGAAAACTAAACAAACATAAAAACCAAAAAAGAAGCAAAAACGGATAAAACAAAAGAAATTCAAATAAGAAATGCAAAATTTTTAAATTAAGTAAAACAAAATGAGAAAAGTGGAAGTAAAAAGAATTGAACATTTAGCCTTATTTACTAAACAAAAAAGAACAAACCAACAGAAATAACAACAACAACAACGTGACGAAGAACAAAACAAAAAATCATTTTCAGCTACTACGGCAGGATAAGGGACTCTAATTAGTTTCAACACTTTCTTTTTTATTTAAATTATGTTCAATTGAAAAAAGCAACAAAAAGAAATATAAATTATGCAAAAGAAAACAAAAGACAGAAATTATAATTAATGTAACAAAACAAAAAAAACGTGAAGAAATATAATGCAGCTTTTTTGTAACTTTGTAACCACAATATATTTTATATTTTGCAATTGAAAAACCAACAAAAACCACACAAAACGGATATCCAACAAACCAAAAAAAAAAAAAAAAAAAAAAATATGAAACAGATCATCAACCATAAACAAGGAGTGCATGCTTTATTCTGGAAATATTTGTTGCCACCAAACGCCATCATAATATCATAACTAAATATCCGACTTTAGACTGAATTCAAATCAGGGCAATAACACAAATTCATAAACATAAAACAAGAACAGCAATGAAAGTTAAATGTTATAAGAAAATTAATTGTCAAATATTTCATTTTTTTATATATCTCAAATTACGTTACTACTACAATTTTTACACTTGCCTCTAAGTTTAGAAGTTGCATTTGGTTTAGTTCCAAAAAATCAAATTGGCTGGCTCTATTCTAATGTATGGAAATCGAATTGAAAAACATAAAAAATAATTTACAAATAAGTCATGTGTCGTAGTGTAACACCATTTCACATACACATCTGATCTGATCAGTATATCATATGAAAATTCTATATTCTCGTGGTAATTAATAAAATAAAACAAAACATTCAAATTTAATTTAAAAAAAAAATAACTCCATTGGTTCTTTTAAATCTAAATTTTAAATTGGCGCAGTTTGTGTGGAATGGTATGTTTAAATAAGCTTGATGGAATAACTAACGCTTGTTCCAAGGAACACATGATTTTGAAATGGTTTGCATATTTCGCTTATGCATTTATTTATCTTCTTTCAACAACATTACAACATTCTATTCTATATTTATTGTGGCTCTGGTATAATTTAATTAAGGTGTATATTTGACACGGTTAAACGCAGGACAGTGGAGGAAAGCTTCGACAGCGACAACAACAAGAACTCCCCCAATCCCACTGCAGCGGGTTATACTATACCGGATGGACCCGAAACAACAACACTTCAGTTTCGGCCAGCGGCTGCCAACCCAGTTTATCCATTTTTCTGTGTTGAAGCAGCATGTCCCGGAATGTTTGCTCCGGATTTTATTGTTCCGTGCCGGGATTGAGGAAAACCCCAGACCTTGGTTCTGCTCGGTTTGTTAGAACGTCATCCACTACAGATCTGTTTCGGTGCGATGTAATGGATGTAGAGAATGGACGCACTTTAAGAGCTGTTCCGGACTAAGGCGTTTGCGTTGCGACTTGTTGCAGTAGCGTAGTCCCCAGCGGGTCCAAGTATTCGTCGTCCTCATCTGAGTCGTCTTCGAAGTATGGAACTCCTATTCAATACCGCAGCATCTTACGCCACATGTTGTTGTTCTAACTCCGGATTGAGCATCGTTCTTGCAATTCAATTTGCTACGGACTCCGAGGCAAAATAGAGGAGATAGTGGAATTCATGAATCGGATTGCAGGAAACCAGGCTGAATAAAAATTGCAGCCTACAACGTGGTTATGGTTACAACCTATTAAGGAAGGATCGCACCAGAAGTGGAGGTGGGGGGTTAGCGTTCCTGTTACACCATTTTGTTCAGTACAGACCTATCTCGCTTGTGCTAGTCTCTAGGGACCCATACATGGAATGTATGGGGGTAGCAATCAAATGTAAAACTACCGAGGTAGAGGTGCCTTATGTGTATAACACACAGATTAATAGCTGTGAACCTCTTTATGTGCCAGATATTAGCCCATTGTTGGTAGGCAATAACCGCCTGGTACTAGGGGATTTTAGTGCCCATCATGAGTTGTGTCACTCCGTCCTAGGTAGTGACCAGAGGGGAGCAACGCTGGCAGAGCAGATTGACTGCTCCACATTCTGCCCTATAATCGAGGATGTCCCCAACCGAATAAGAGTGGAGTGTCACCCCTTCTGATAAATGACGTGACTTGGTAACCCGTCATTTCTCTTGGCTCAGACCATCTCCCGATAATCATCTCATCTGAACATCTGCACGCCGCACTTTCCTCAACCATTTTAAAGCCCACTGGCTAGAGTTCAGAAAATTCACCAACCGTCGCTTCAGTGAACTGCCTAACCCTTCTGATGTTCGGTTAGCAGAAAGGATTTTCCGAAACATCATCAAAGCTGCAGCCGCTCGCTATATACCTGCTGGTCGAATACCCGAGATAAGACCAAATTTCCCCAGCAGAGGCAGCGGGATTAGCAAATGAGCGTGATGATCTCCGTCGTTCCAACCCTACTGATCCTAGAATCAGTGATTTGACAGTGGAAAGCAACCGGTTGGCACAGGTGCATATGAGGAAAATTGAGTAGACCATCTGAAGTGTTGTAACATTGGAAAAGATATGAGTAAGCTGGGAAAAGGATGATAGGACCTCACTCACTTTTAACGACGTAACGGTGACTGATCCGAAGAGGTTGCGCTGAGTAGTATAACCGACAATTTCTCAGGCCGAAGCGAAGAGTACTACATTCT